CATGAGGGTCATTCTACTTTTGTGTATATTTTAACTTTACCTTAAACCAGAAATTTTGTTGTTGTTTTTGAATCACAGCTGGCTATGCTCAGGGCTTATTCCAGGCTCTGCGCTGTGGGATCAATACACATGGCAGGATTGGGGAACCATACAGGGTGTCAGGGATCAACCCAGGCAAGCCAAGCACCAAACCAAACTTCATGCAAGTCAAGCACGAAGCTCTACGGTACCCCCATCCCCCACCCCTCCAATTTCTAATTTAGGAGCACATAAAACCCAATTTAACCACCTAATGCTGGCAACTTGGATTAGGTTTCTGAATTAAGATGATTATTTGTTTCGGGTTTTTTTTGGGGGGGGAAGGGAAGCATACTTGCACGCAAAGCTTGTGCTTTAGCCCATTATTACATTTTTCTCTCCAGTCCCAGAATAAGCCAATTATTTTTTTTTAAACTTCAAATAGTTTTTTATTTTTCACCATATAGGTAATAGAGACCTTAAAACACTGTAAGATTCACAAACTTTAAAAGTAAAAAACCCAATAAGTGTTAAATTGGTATGAATGTTTTAAAATGAACACTAATTGCTTATTTTAAATTTTTGAGTAAATTTATAATCTTTTATAATGTAACCATAATGTATCTTTTGGTTTCCTAATATTATTTAATTAAAAATCCAGAGAGAAAGAAAATAATTGGCCTACTTCTGAGGGATATTTTCCCTATATACTAGTTAAAAAATAATTTGGTATTGTATATAAGAATTTATATTTCTTATCCTGGTTTTATAGTAGCTTTAATACATAGAGGTTAGAAAATAGGCTAGGTGAAATGTAGTCTTCAAATACTTCATACACATGCATTTTGTCCATAGGTGATAACGTCCTATTTCAATTATTTCATTGGGATCATTTTATTACGTTATCTCATGACATTTTCTTTTTTTTTTTAATTTTTATTAGTGAAACACCATGTGGTACAGCTGTAGACTTACAAAGTTTTGTGCTTGGATTTCAATTATACGATGGTCAAATACCCATTCCTCCATCAGTGCCTATTTTCCACCACAACGGGTCCCAGTATCCCTCCCACCCCCCCATCCCCCCATCCCACCCTTCCTCTGTGGCAGGGTATTCCCTTTTGTTCTCTCTTTCCTTCTGGGTGCTGTGGTTTGCAAAAGAGGCATTGAGTGGCAATCATGTCGGGTCTATAGTCTACTTTCAGCATGCATCTCCCATCCTGGGAGGATCCTCTCAACACCCTTTATTTGATGCTCCCTTCTCTATCTGAGCTCCCTCTCCCCCTAGTATGTGTAGCTGGCCTCCAAGCCATGGCGCAAACATCCTAGTACTAATCCTGGCCACTCCTGGGTGTTAGTCTCCTATTTTATTAGAATAAACCAATTCTTAACGGGATTGGGCACTGTGACTCAATGGGAAAGCATATGCTTTGCATGTTTAATCCCCAGCACCTTTTTTTTTTAGAGATCAAAAGAGCAAGCAAGATTTTTATGTCTACTCTACTTCTGAGGTATTATTGTCCACTATATATATATATATATATATATATAAGATCTTCCTGTTAAACTGATAATTGAAGAGTCAGGGAAAAACCCTTTCTCCTGTCTTACCTCCTAGTAAAGGGAATCAAAACCACTACTTGCTTTCCTTCCTGTCAGTCCTTCACTCTTGTTCAGAAATCCCCAGCATTTACATACTGCTCCAGGCCCTTCTCTAGGGCAGGGGAGTGCCTAGATGGTTAGCTACATCTAACCAGGATCATTCCACCCCAAGTGCTAGGCTAGCTTCCTGCTATCTATCAGAAGACTTCTCTCTGCCTCCAGCATTTCCTTTCCTTCTCACTGTCCCTTTCCAACCAAAACACTGCTTATAGCCTGAGAGACAGGAGAGGGGTTAAGGCATTTGTCCTGCATGTGGCCAACCGTGGTTGTATCTCTTGCACTATACCACCAGGAATGATCCCCGAGCATGGAGCCAGGAGTAAGCCATGAGCACAACCAGGTGTGCACCCTCCCTGCCGCAAAAAAAAAAAAAAAAAGTAAGACCACCCCACCTGAAAATTTTGCAGTGAGCTTCTGTTGTTGTTGGAAACAACAAAAATGTTCAACTACAGATGACTGGATTAAGAAATTGTGGTATATTTACACAATGGAATACTACATAGCTCAAAGAAAGAACAAAATCATACAATTTGCAACAACATGGATAGAAATAGAGGATTTCATGCTGAGTGAAGTCAATCAGAGGGAAAAAGAATTGATACAGATAGATCTCAGGTGTGGGGCTTAAAGATATACAGAAAAGTGGTAAAAAAGGGCCTAAGGCAACACAACTAAAAAATTAATCCACAAAGTTCAGTGTTGGTGGGGGTTTGAAATGGAAGGGTGCTGGGGTTCTTTGGAGGAGGGGGTGGGTACACTGTATCGGAATTATGTGCATGAGAATCCATCTTTAACATATTGTAATTTACAATCAATTTAAAAAAGTTAAAAAAGAAATTCCCTTGGGAAATCATCACTTTAAAGAATTAACTGATCACCCCAGGCACACAGCCTGCAACCCACCCTTTCTAAAACTGTGCTCCCTGTTCCCTTTTCTTTTTGGTTTTTGGACCACACCCAGCTGTGCTCAGTAATTGCCTGGCAGTGTTGAGGGACCCTATGTGTAAATAGAGATTGAACCTCTGCTGACAGTGTTCGAAACAAGAAATTTTATCTGATACACTATTTTTTTATTGACCCTCCTCAACCCTACACACATTTTTCTTTCTTTTTTTTTTTAATTAGTGAAACACCATGAACTACAGCTGTAGACTTACAAACTTTCCTGCTTGGGTTTCAGTTATACAATGATCAGTACCCATCCTTCCACCAGTGCCCATTCTCCACCACCAATGATCCCAGTAGCCCACCCCCCTCCCCCGAACCCCACCCTGCCTCTGTGGTAGGGCATTCCCTTTTGCTCACTTTCCTCAAGGGTGTTGTAGTTTGCAATAGAGGTATTGAGCAGCCATTGTGTTCAGGCTATAGTCTGCTTTCAGCATGCATCACTTCAATACAATTTTCTTTTGAGGATCTGAAAAGACAGCTCAAAGCATTGAGCACATGCTTTGCATGCAGGAGGTCAAGGTTCAACCACAGGTACCCCATGCTTCCTCAAACACTGAGCACAAAGCTAGAAGTGACACTCTTTTGAGCACCAGTTGGTGTGGTCCAAATTCCCAAATAAATAAATAAATAAAAATCTCTTGTTTTAACCTTTCAGGCAAAAGAGCTATTTTAAGAACATTGTTGCCCATAAAGTTTGGTGTAAATGAGATATCCAGTAATCCTGGATTTTCCAGGCCCACAAAAAATTGAATACAAGAAAGAAAAGTTGCCAAGAAGTAACAGTTTATTGAGAGTAGAGACAGGAAGGATGCTTGAATGGGAGGGCCATCAGAGAGAGCACAATGGGAAGGTTGGTGACTCAGTTTCATAGATTCTCTTCCTAGTAGTCCTAGCTTGGACCACTACTTTATGGTAGATGGTAGTTGCCCGACTGAATTAGGGTATCTTCGGATTTCCAGATTGAATTTTGAGAAAAATGTCAGATATTTCACTAATCTGTTATGTGGCCATGGCCATATTTTACTTTGGAAGTCACGTCTTTAATATTTGAGTGTACGCTCACTTACACTCGTGTTCAACCGCTCATCCTAGATCTCTTAATGGCAATAAAGGTCTATTTCCTGATGTATCCTGTCATCCATGCAAAACTCAAGCTTATCATATCTTTTTTTTTCTTTTTGGGTCACACCCAGCGATGCACAGGGGCTACTCCTGGCTTGCACTCAGGAATTACCCATGGTGGTGCTCAGGGGACCATATGGGATGCTGGGAATCCAATCTGAGTCTGCCCCGTGCAAGTCAAACGCCCTAACCTTTATGCTACTGCTCCAGCCACAAAGGTTATCATATCTTGTTCATTGGCTTTTATCCCTATTAAAAACTCCTGGGTCAGGAGGTGGCTCAAAGGGCTGCAGAGATGCTTTCATTTGGGAGACTATTTGGTTCTATCCTAGCAAGTGGAGGGTAAAAAAGCACAGAGGGGTGTGACCCCCAAACAAAACAGAACAAGTCTAAACCGAAATTCTCAAGGTTGCAAGTCCTTGGGGCAGCAAGATTATTGCCTACTGATCAGTCTCAACAAAGAGTTTTTCATCTTTTATACATCCAGACCCTCCCCGTTGAGATGCAAACCAAACCAATAACTTTTAAGTTCGACCTGTGCTGATTTCTTGAGTCTTAAAGATGTTTTAACCTCTGGTTTATTCAACTAAGTAAAATTTTACTGTGACAGTTTCTCAGAAGATTTCAGAGAGCCAGAGCGGGGCAGAATTTACTGGGTCTGGCAGTTCTGTCTATTAAGATGTGAAGAGTTCCTTGCTGGAAATGTACCTCTTTCATTCCAAAATGTAATCCTTCAGTGTATGAAATGAGGGTGTGGCAATGTAATTTTGAAAAATTCACCTTCAGGGGATTCAAAGAAAAACAAACAAAAGAAATAAACAGAAAAAAAAAGAGAGACACAGACAGAGGAAGGAAGGAAGGAAGGAAGGAAGGAAGGAAGGAAGGAAGGAAGGAAGGAAGGAAGAGAAAGATCCAACCCAACCTTCAACCTTCCTTTTAATCCCAAATTGCTCACGGGGCTGAAAAATAGGAAGAAACCTAAAAACTGCACCTCAAGAGATTGAATGCAATTAACAACAAAATGATAGCAGAGGGGAAAATGCCTCTAGGTGTGCCAGGATCCCTTCCCTCCCTCACTGGCTGGTAGGGTGGGTCATTGACTCACCCCTTTCTGGAGTTACAGCCAATCGTGGTCCAGACTGTGTCATGGGCTTATAGCTCTAGGGTGGGTCATTGACTCACCCTTTTCCGGAGTTACAGCCAATCGTGGTCCAGACTGTGTCATGGGCTTATAGCTCTCGCATATTTAGTCTCCTGGGATTTTGATTTCAGATCCACCTCTGGACCTGGATCTGAGGTTCCTGCTGCTTCTTGCCGGACAGGGGCTGCACCGACCCTTCTTGCAGGTCCACTGTGGTGAGTGTTCTTGGGTGTGCTGGAGCTAGCTTCACGTTGATCCCGCTGGGTCTCTTGTGTCAGGGGTGGCTCTTGGGAGCATTAGGTCGGGGTGCTGGGTACCTTAATTAAGCAAGATTTTGATCTGATCCAGAATGTGGGGAGTTGTTATTGAAACGAAACTCAGGCTTAGTGAGGTCTCTTGAAGAGATGGTAGAGGTGCAAACTGGAACATGATTTTGAGTTGGACAGATCTGAGGGTAGGCGTGTTAAGGATGAAGAGAGAGCCAATGTGAGCCCATGTCTGGAGTAATAATACAGTGAACTGAGTACTATCAGTGAACAGAGCACACAGTCAACATGGGTTCTATACCCCGAACCTCTTATGGCCTCCCATCTCTGATTATATGGTCAAGAGTAAGCCCTGGACAGAGCAGGAAGTGTCCCCAAAACAAGACAGTCTGGAGATATTGGTACACATGGGCTTGAAAAGATTAGACTCAATGAGGCAGGGAGGCGGGGCGGGGAGGCGGGGCGGGAGACAGGGGTGGGGGGTGGGGGTAGGAGATAGGGCATGGGCCTGTGGTGATAGGTAAGAAGGAAGAGTGTGGCACACAAAGTAGCCCCCATGTGGACCTTTGAGATACCCCTCCCCCCAATCTCGCATGTTGGCTATGTCCAGGGTCAGTTTATGCTATTATTAATGCTCACAAAAATCTGAGTGATGGTTTCAGCTTGATAGATGAGCAGTCTGTGGTGGGTCCTTTGGGGTGTAAGTTCTCTACCCCAGGCTCTCTTTCTTTCCTTAATTCTTTGCTGAAATGCTTTTTAATCATTTGCCCGGGTGAAAAAAAATAAGCAAGATGGAGGCCATTTCCACTTCAGGCATTTGACAATCTATTATGGGTATGGGAAGGTCCCACCAAAATATTGTAATAAGGGCAAAGTCACATCGCAGGCTCCGCGTATTAGATGGACAGTTGTGTGAGGTTAAAAAAGGTCTCGGTGTTTTATGTTTACAGAAAATATTTAAGTTTACATTTTCTCAAAAATGGTCATTTTCCGAGTTCTGCAAGCCGGCTCTTACATACAGCACTGGAGGGACCAACAGCTAGATATTCTAAGGGCGGGGTTGGTGGACTATGTCAGGAGCTGGACCCAAATGATCTGCACTGGTGGTACTAGGCGAGCTCAGAACTGTCAGACCCACATAGTTAGACCTGGTGTTCGGGGTTCTCCCAGCCCCAGCACAGCTAGGAGTCCTGCACTGTCCATCCCTAGATCCTAGGCAGAGAAAATGCAGGAGGTGATAGTACAGTGGGCAGGGCAGCTGACCCCAGGGTGGGTATGACCTTCAGAGCACCACCAATTGTTTAGGTTTTCTTTTTTGTTTTTCTAATTTTGCATGGTTTTGGACCACACCTGGAAGTCTTTGGGTCTGACTCCTAGTTCTGTGCTCAGGCATCATTTCTCGTAGGGCTCTGGGGACCCTATGGGATGCTGGAGATAGAATCTGGTCAGGTTTGCTGCATACAAGGCAAGCACCCTACTCGCTGTATTGTCTCTCTGGCTCCACACCACAAATTGTGACCCTCAAACTATCAAAAATGTGTGAAGTAAATTGCTACAATCATGAATATCTTATGTATTTTTAAAAAGAATTTCCACTCAACAATCTTAGTGTTTGTATTCGATTCTTATGTGAACATTTTAATACTTCAGTACTTATTGAATGGTATTTTAACATAATGTTTTTCTTACTCTTTAGGAGGATTTAGGAGGATTTAGTCTTGGACTTGAGGCTATTTTCCTGAATAAGAAAGCCATCATTCACATCATCCAGTGCTAAGGCCAGCAGCTCAGCTGACACTGTCCAGTATTCCATCGACTATATATAGCCTGTGGGAGTATTTTTGACAACAAACGTTCTAAAGGTAACGGGCTAAAGGATAAACAGATGTGTAGAGGCTGCCATTAACATGTCAAGCCAGTTAAACTGAAAACTGGTCATTTCGCGATATCTATAGGAGGATATTCACTGTTCACTGGGTTTTGTCTTCTAGAGAGCAAAAGGTCATACCACCTTCCCACTTTGGTCTTTATATCAGTGGAGATGGAGACGGCCCTGGAAGACCTCCAAGCCGGAGCTAGCTGTTTCCTCTGTAACGACTACTTGAAGAACCCAGTGACCATTAACTGTGGCCACAACTTCTGTTTCTCTTGCATCAACAAGTTCTGGGAGGACCTAAAGGATATTTTTCCCTGCCCTATTTGTCGAATGTGCTTTCCAGGAAAGAAATTCAGGAGGAACACCCAACTGGGTAATTTGACTGAAGCTGCTAAGCTGCTCCAGAAAAGAAGAAGCAAGAGGAGGAAGCAGAAAGAAAAGGTTGTTTGTAAAAAGCATAATCTAGTGTTGGCCTTTTTCTGCCAGCAAGACCTGGAGGTTTTATGCTCACAGTGCAGCTTCTCCTCCGACCACAAGAAACATCACATCTGGCCTGTCGAGAGGGCTGCTCCCTATTATAAGAAAAGATTGGAGCAGTGCATTGAGTCATGGAAGAAAAAAGTGAGACGACTAGAAAAAGTCAGGATTATACAAACCAGAAGAGCCTTGGAGTTGAAAAAACAGGTAGAACATGCAAGAGACGAAATAGAGTCTGAATGTGAGCGGCTTAAATTCTGTCTTCAAAATGAGCGAGAAACTCTTCTTCAGCAGTTAGAAGAGGAGGAAATGGCTTTTGAGACCAAACTGCGTGAAACCCGAACACAGTGTTCCGAGTATACCTCGACATTAAAACGTCTGTTACAGGGCATAAAGAGCAAATCAGCCCTGGCATTACTGACAGACGTTAACTGGATCTATCATGCCTATCAAAACTTAAAGTCCCCTGAGCCTTTTTCACTCCAGTTAAAGGAATACAGTTACCATTTGCCACCCCAGTATTCTGGTCTAAACAGAGTCATTGAGCGATTTGAGGTAGATGTGTTTCTAGATCCAGAAACAGCACATCATGATCTGACTGTCTCAGAAGATAGGAAAACGGTTCGATATGGAAGAACACGGCAAAAGTCAACTCATAGCCCATGGAGATTCTACCTCTTCCCAGCTGTTCTGGGTTCCAAGGGTTATAATGCTGGCAGGCACTACTGGCAGGTGGAAGTGAAGGACAAAGTTGGGTGGATTGTGGGTGTCTGTAAAGAGACTTTTCTCGGGAGGAATCAAGCACCGAATCAAGCTTTTTCAGTACAAGATGGATTATGGGGTATTGGACGACGGGATGTGGATGATTATGTTGCGTTAGGGCCTCAAAAAATCGATCTCTTCCCAGTCGTAATGCCTACAAAGATTGGTATTTTTTTAGACTGTGATTTGGGTGAAGTTTCCTTTTACAATTTGAGTGACAAATCTCATCTGTATACCTTTAAAGTTTGTTTTCTGGATGCAGTTTGGCCTTATTTCTATACTGGAACTGACCCCCAACCTCTGAGGATATGTCCAGCAAGAGATTCTGAATAATAAAAATGATTTGTAGGCTTGCTCTTCAAGCCCATGTTCTCCCTTGAACAAGTATCCTGCTTGCTTGCTTGTGTGTCTCTTTGCTTGCTTCTTCCACTCTGGAGCAGCTTGTGTTCTATCTCGAGCACATTTCCCCTCTTTCTCTCCTCTCACCTCTTTCTAAGCAAGTTTCATTCAATAAAAGCTATCTTGCTTAAAAAAGAAACTATTGTAAGACTTGTAATTTGAAACTTTTTTTCTGTAGTGGACAGTGCGTATGCTCTAGAGGCCATGAATTTTAATTTTTATCAAGGTTACCTCAATTTTCAGTAATACACTGTGTGTCTTCCTCAGTCTCAAGTTGGTAAATGCATATACACATTCTGTTTGAGTGTGTGTGTGAGTGTGTGTGTGTGTGTGTGTGTGTGTGTGTGTGTGTACATGTGTGATATCTACTGTTATCTACTGATACCTAGCACAGTGGGTAGGGTGTTTGTCTTGCACACAGCCAATATGGCCGACCCGAGTTCGATTCCTCCGCCTCTCTCGGAGAGCCCGGCAAGCTACCGAGAGTATTCGATATGCCAGACACAGTAACAACAAAGTCTCCAATGGAGACGTTACTGGGCCTGCTCGAGCAAATCGATGATCAACGGGAGGGCCTTTACTTTACTTTTACTTAACCTTTCCTCTGTTCCTTTTACATTTGGGAACCATACCTGGCAGTGCTCAGGGCTTCCTTCATGCTCTGTGCTCAGGTATCACTGCTGGTGGGGGTTGGGAGATTGGATGCTGGGATAGAGACCAGGCCTGATTCTCCCAAAGGCATAAAGACAGATTAGGGGGCCAGAGCATGTAGGACTCCTGTGTTGCATATGGACAACTCAGGTTTGATCCTTGGCACTCCATATGGTTCCCTAAGTCCTGCCAGGAGTGACTCCTGAGCACAACCAGATGTACCTCCCCCCAGGGCAAAGAGGTCCTATAAGCCGATAGAACATCACCCATGTTTGCCAAGCCCTACGCTGAACTCCACACCTGACACATCTGGCCTGGCAATATGTCCAGAAGAAGTCTATTAGTATCCAGACAGCTGGTTACAATAAAGATGGATAATTGTAAACCCAGGACAGTGATACTTACCATTTCCACTTTTGCCTCACACTGAGGGAGGGAGCTGGCAACTTTCACAACTGGTAGGGATAATTGGGAATAGCCTAAGGGCTAGAAGGTGCAGCTTCCATGGCTGCTATGGAGGCAGTGCTGGAAAGTTTCCACAAGTTTTGCTTAGTTGGATGACAACTGGGGTTGGGGTAGTAACCATTAAGGCCTTTCCTGGAATGCCCACACTCCATAACCGCAGTTTAACCCCTTTTCCAATAGCTCCTAGTTTTCTATTATTGGAGGCTGGATCTCAGATAAGGCCATCAATAGATACTTGCAGAAGGTTAACATGGTCCCTGTGGCGTGGGAAAAAGGAGAGGGAGTGCAGGTATTGGTCTAGAGACACTGGAGGGCTGGGGGCAAATCATTTCCAGCCAGAAACCCATTTACCCCCTTTACAATGTAAAAGAGGGCATGTTCGGATAGAAGTCCAGATGAACTCAGAGAATCCCGTGTCCAGAGGAAGCTGGGCTGCATTACCCACTACATCCAGGACCACCAGGACCTCCATACCATGAATTGTGATGATACCTGCAGTGTCTCTAGGCCTCCATGCTCGGAATTCACCTCTATCAAGGCCAATATGGAGGGGCCCAAGCAGGCCTCATGTCAGGGGTCAGTTCTTTTTTTTTTTTTTTTAATTAGTGAATCACCGGGAGGTACAGTTATAGACTTACAAACTTCTGTGTTTGCGTTTCAGTCATACACTGACTGAGTACCCATCCCTCCACCAGTGCCTGTTTTCCACCACCAATGGTCTCAGCATCCCTCCCACTACCCCCACCCCATCCCTTCTACCCTACACTGCCTCTGTGGCAGGGCATTCCCTTTTGCTTTCTTTCCTTTTCAGTTCTTTTGTTGTTGTTATTTTTTTTAAATATCTTATGGAATCACTGTGGCATAGATAGATGCCATGTAAATAATGTTCATATACCTTGTGGAATTAAAAATAGAAATCAACAAAAGAATAATATTGTAGAATCTGTAAATTGTTTTTGAATCCGTAAATATTTTAAAATTATATCCTTTCAAACAACCCATGGGTCAAATATTCCAGAAAACTATTTGGGAAAGAGGGTAGTGCTTAATAGTCCTGGTTTTGTAGCGACATCCGGAGGTACTTGGGTGACCATTTGTAGTGCTGGGGATTCAAATCCATTGAGTATGAAACCTTCCTTCATGTATCATGTCGCCAGTCCCTGTATCTGGAAATCTTTAAGTACTTTTAAAATGAAAATGAAATTTCCAAAAAGGACACAGGTTATTTTTTAATTTTTTTATTATTTTATAATTTTATTATACTCATATGTTTCTAAATTTATATTCTCTCACATTCCCACTATTCATTTTTTAGCGTCAAGTCCCAGAGTATCCTATGTGATATATATGGAAATCCAATTAACTAATTAATATATTTATTGAATCATCACAAGATACACAGTTGTAGGGCATTTGCCATGCTCACAGCCAGACTGGCCGAGCCGGGTTCTATTCCTCCGCCCCTCTCGGAGAGCCCGACAAGCTGCCGAGAGTATCTCGCCCGCACGCCGCAAAGCCTGGCAAGCAGCAAAGCCTGGTAAGCTACCCGTGATGTATTCAATATGCCAAACACTGTAACAACAGGTCTCAAAAATATGGAGATGTTACTGGGCCCACTTGAGCAAAAATAATGAACAACAGGAGAACACAAGATACAGTTACAAATTTGCTCATTATTGGGTTTCAGACATACAGTGTTCCAACACCAATCCTTTCACCAGTGTACATTTCCCACTACCTAGTTTCCCTGACACCACCCTCTTTCCCATCCAACTTTCCTCAATGGCAGACACTTTTCTTTTTCTCTATAGGTCTCTCTCATTTTCTTTGTCCTGTCTCTGTCTCTGTCTCTGTCTCTCCCTCTTTCTCTATCTCTCTCTCTCCCTATCACTCCCGCATTCTTTTTTCCTTTCAGCACTCAGTTCTTGTTCAGAGTGTTGGAATTTCCAGCTATCATTGTCACAGTGATCACTTCTCTATCCACCCGCACCTACTCCTAACCTGCGGAAAGTTTCCAACTATGAACCAGTCCTCTTAGTCCTCATTTCTATTGTCCTTGGGTATTAGGAGGACACAGTATTCTAAAAAAAATTAAAGGTGCCGGAGTTATAGTACAGTGGGGACGGTGTTTGCTTAGCAGATGGCAAATCTGGGTTCAATCCTCGGTATTCCACATGATTCCCCAAGCGCTGCTAGGAGTAATTCCTGAGTGCATGAGCCAGGAGTAACCTCTGAGCATCACTGAGTCTGATCCAAAAAGAAAAAAAAATAAGAAAAAGAAAAGAAAATTGGAAGTATTAAATGTGCAAAGGGATAAGAGTTCTGGATTTAATAATATAAGATCCTCCCTTATGGAGTGAAAAACATGGGGGAAACAAGGGGCTGAAGAGATAGCTTTATGGACTAGAGTGCATACTATGTAAGTAGGAGGTCTCTGTTTGATTTCTAACACTGCATAAGGTTCCCCAGCAAAATCAGTAACGACCTCTGAGCACTGACTCAGGAGTAGCACCCGACCACTGTTGTGCATTCCCAAACAATTTTTTTTAAATAAAGGAAACTAAAGATAAGAGCAGATAAACCTAAAAGTAGAAGAAGAAAATCAAAATTGTAGTAGAATCAGTAAAATTGAAAATCAGAAATGAGTGGAGGGCTTGGGATGTAGCAGCTGTAGCAGAATTTGCCTTGCCTGTGCAGGCAAGAGTTTGGATTTACAGCCTTCCCCCCAAAGAAAGCCATTACCAGCAAAGAAATAATTAAGAAAATCAACAAAACTGAAACTGAATCTTTACCCAGATAACATGGAGGTAATAAACTGGTGACTGGTATAAACAAATCAACTCAATTCAGATTTTAAAATATAGGCTGGTTCCACTATCCCAGTGGCCTAGTTTGGTGAGACTTCATTAGAGAAAGGGAGGTTCGGGGGAGGAATATTAAGTAGCAGGAAACTGGCAAGAGTAGGAGAGGACTGCTGGAAATACACCATCGATTTTTCAATCAGGAAACGCTTCTAACAAAAATGAGTCTATGATTGTATTCTTGCTAAGGAAGCCAGTGAGTTGGATTTTAGATAGGAGACAAGGGAGAGGGGTTAGCTCTAATTTGAAACTCTGGACTTTTCCAATTGCTCACTGTAATCGTGCTAGTTATGGGATTGCGGAAGTTATCTCAAGAGTCTGGAGGGCATTATTTTCATGTGATCTACAGGTTTCTCTCTAGTACTTTCCCAAAAGATGGCACTTGTGAGGTGTAGTGAAACACAAATAGTGGCAGTTTTTTATTTTTCCTCTTAAGATTAAAATTTAAGTATATTTTATTCATTTTTTGCACACTTTTTAAAGATTAATTTATTCCTGTTTTTTCATGCCACACTGGCAGTACTTAGGGCTCACTCATGGTTCTGTACTCAAGGATCACTCCTGGTAGGCTCAGGGCATCACATGGGGTACCTGCAGTAGACCACCTGCAAAGCAAAAGCCTTCCTAGCTGCACTCTCTCTCTGGTCCATAGAACTTACACACTTTTATCACCTCCCACCACTTGTTCAGGGATCAATCATCACACCGGAATTATTCAATAGACTCTTCGTTTGTCTCCCTGATTCTTCTGATTTTGCTTCTTGCAATGATACCTTCTTTTTCTTCCTTCCATCCTTGCTTTCTTTTGAGGTAAAGAAAAAATATATTGAGAATACATTGAAAGATGTTAGTCAGATTTTTGATAGTCAGATATCTTGCAGTGCCTGAATGGATAGAATCATTGACTGTGTTACCAATGCAAAGGACAATAATATTAAAGGTTATAGAAATTTACCC